ACAAGATGTAACCATGTATTGCATGCTACTGTAGTTACGGATGAGCTGAGCAGTAATCTATTAAACTTCACAATTGTATCATCTTACTCTTCGATGGACATGTGGCACAGCATGAGTGCATAACATCTTCACGCTCATGTCTTGGTTTTTAGCAAGTTAAATGGCCTGTTTAAAGAGAGTGAGAAAGATGAGTGCTTCATTGGCTACAGGAAAGGTATGAGTGGTTATGCATTCTGAGATCTCTGTGATAGACTGGCTAGACACGGACCTGTATGAGGATTACAAATCTCCCTTTGATTTTGATACTGGAATTAATAGAAAATACCTCTACCTTTCACCCAGCATGACATTCTCCCCACCTGGATCTCCTGTGCTGAAGAATTCTGGTAACTATTGCTATCTGTTTTTATTGCTACATTTCTCTTAAGAAAAATATGCTTCAGCTTGTTTAAGGAAAAGGATAGCATGGAATGTGTATTAACTAGAAATGTGCATTAATATGCTTTGATTTACCCTGCTGAAACTGGGCACAATCATAAAAGTGCTGTCAGGATTAAAAGCAGCTTTTGTACTGTAAATTGATAGCGAGTGTTCTAAATTTGCTAGACCTTATACTTTCATAAGAGTAATAAAAAATCGCACAACATGGTTGATGGGATACAGATATTCAAGAAACTCAAGGTAAAATCCTTGGGACATGCATAAACAATGTTGTGGTTCTTGCTACAAGTTGTTTTCCTCTTGGTTTTGATTTTTAATATTCAGATATTGGAGTAATCCCCTTGCATCCAGGCATTCATAGAATAGTCATATTTGTGTCTTCCATAATTATCTAACATTTGATTGATATGCCATGGTAATTGACAGTGAACAGCTTGTGAGATTTCATATGTGTTTCCTGACTTGATTTTGGTTTTCCAGTTGCCAGCGAGTCTGAGGTTTGAGTAGTAATGTGCCTAGGGGTTAGCTACAAATCAGTCTCTGGTTTGGCTTTTGGTTTTGCCATGAGCTGACTATGTAAATCTTAGACAGCTTTTTCTCTCCCCTTCCCCTGCATAATGGAGATCACAATGTATATAAAAATAGATCTTTGTGAATTTGAACACTGTGGAGCAATATAGAAATGTTTATGAATAATAATGCCATTCAAGCTTTACTTTCTAACTGCAAGTACCTTAACTTTAAAGATGGTGTAGAGTATTCAGAACAACCTGTGATAAAATTAACTTGTCAAATTTGAACTATGTTGGGTACAGTTTCTGTTCTACTGCCTATAAGTATGCTTTGAAAAGGAAGCAGACCATGAAGAATGCAACAAGACGCTTTTTCTTAACATGAAAGACAGAGAAAGTGATTTTACAGGCTCTAACTTCCTGACAAACTTTAGCTTAGGGCACAATCCAAAGAGTTTGCCAGTAATCATTTGAACACAGAGGCTGCATCCATGTTGCTGCTGCCATGGAAAGCACTTAAACTGATTTTGGCTGCCTGAGTAGTTGGCTTTGGAGTAGGCAGGAGGGACTGCAGAGCACTGCCAGGATACTTTGCATGCTGGCACAGGCTGTGTCTTCCCCTCCTTGCCCCCAAAAGTTGCCTTTGTGGCCATTGTGGCGACCTCATAGCTACAGCTGGCATGGTTCTTTCTATGCCAATGGCAAGGGCAGGGTGCTCCAACTTTGGAGTTCTAGCTCGAACCATAAAACGCATTTCCAAACTTAAGAGTTAGGGCTCCAAAAAATCCTATGGGTGCCTGGATTCTATCTGGTAGCCATAGGACGGTGCTATGGATTTGGGGGATAATGCCAAGTACATGCTACTTACTATTGTAGAAGTTTTCTTAAATTTAACAAGGAACCTTAAATACCCAGAGTATAAATCCAAATAAGATTGAAATTTAGGGAGATTAAAAGGGAATGGGGATTGGTATGCTTGGTCACATTCACATGACAGATTCTCCCACATCAGCACCCATCTGCTGTTGTTTCTCAGCAACTGGCAGTTAGGAGTATCCTGCCTCTTATCATTGGGGTTGCATGTGGCCATTGACAGCTGGTTATATGTTACCTGAACTGAGCTAATATCTTAAGTCATCTGCTAGAATTCATCACAACCTCTAGTGGTAGTCAGCTCCGTAACTCTGGGCTATGTCAAATTGTAGCTCTGTTCTGTTCTAAGTCATCCACTTTTCATCTTCATTAGATGAGCTTGGGATTAAGTGTAACAAAAAACAGAATTTACCTTCACCCCTCCTTCTATGAGGAAGGGTATCTAGGCGGTGCTTTTACCATTACACCTAGCTTCAGGATCATGTGACTTGAATTTTTTTAAGCTTTTGCCTCCCCAGGGGATTTTTTCCCACTTCCTTTCTTTCCTAGTTGTAGAGCTAGACCAAAAGACAAAAAAGAGAGCAACAAGACATACAAGTCTTCTTGAAGCACAAGTCTAACACACTTTTACCATAGTAGCATAGACCTTTTTGTCTTCACCTTTAAACAGTAAGACCTCAAGATTGTCTTCCAAATTTTCAACAGAATAAACAGAAGCAATTGATGCAGTAACATGATTATGATATCTAGGCCTCCTCTACACCTTCCCAGTAGCTAAAAGAAATACAGAGTCCAAAAAGGAGCAGGCATGAGCAATCCTAAGACATAAGACTGTGTGGTGTAAGCACCGAACACTAGTTCCCATGATTCTGCTGGAAAATACAGGATGATGCATTCCTGTGGAGGTTACAGAACAGACATTGGTAACAACTTGCTTCTTGGTCATTCCCTCCCAGCCTTTTGCCTTTCCCCAATAGTGAGAGAGCAGAAAGGGGTTGTGTTTATCTTCAAGCTATTGCAGAATGAAGAAGTTCTTTCCGCTTGTCTTTTGGGGGCTGGGGAAAAGGCTTATGTTTAATACTGCAAGAAGTTTGGTCTCACCCATAAAGACCCAACATGGCTAAAAGACTAGAAGCCAAGAATTTACTGGCTGATGATTTTTCAGTCAAAATTACTCCACCTCCCCAGTCAGGATTCACTTACTGCAAAGAACAAGGGGCGTTTGGGTAACTTGGAAACTTTGCTAAAGGTCTTGCTGCCTAATGAGAACGTTTATTTGTTATCCACTGTACCTTGAGGACAGGCCAAGTCTGGCATAGGATAAATGGTATTTAAATTATCATAATGTACAATATTTCTTTAGTGTCTTTGAGTTTGTTATGATTTTTTGTGAGCCCTTAGAGACAACTTGTATCTCTGTTGCCTGTTTAGAGTTTCTTGCTAAGAAAGCTATCATTTGCGATGGGGAAAAAACCACTCTCTTCAGTGACAAGATAGTTTGGTGCTGTATATACAACTTTTATTACAGCTGGCTTCAGTGATGTAGCTGTGGCTTTTGAGGGAGTTCTGGGGTCCCTTAGAAACATATTGGGCAGGGGAGTTCATGAGAGGATTGGTAATAGTAGGTGTTCTTCCTTGCAAAATAGCTTGCCATCCATCATGGATCATCCCTTAATATGCAAAGTGGTGTTGATTGAATTTTAGGATTCATTCTGGTTAATAGCAGTGAGTGGGACAAACGAGACTCAGCAGAATTGGTTGGTGCCACATACAAGCAGTTCTTACAACATCCGAGACCTTTGCTGCATGTGCATCGTATGTCAGATTTATGTGGAACTGATTTTCCAAAGCTTGAAAACCAACAACCTTGGCTGCTATGTCTACACAGTTTTATATACAGTTTGTATATTCTACACAGTTTTGAAGTTTTGTTCTACTTAAGACATCTTTTTAGTAAGGAGATGAATAAAATTGTTTCACAGGGTTGAAGTTGGAAGGTGGGGAAAACCTTGCGTTTGCTACAAGAGTGGTTTGTAGATGTGTCTTGTCAGTAAGATAAACGGTGGGTCCCTTTCAACATTAGCAAGGAAATGTCATGTATTCACACTTGGCAGACTGAACTAAAGTGGACTGCTGACATGGCGGAGGATATGGGTGTGCAGTTCATTTGGATGTGAATAGCTACATCCTGTGAAGTGTGTGTGTGTGTGTGTGTGTGTGTGTGTGTGTGTGTGTGTG